GCATTTAACTATGAATTTGTCAGCATTTTAAAATATTGAAAAAAAGCTTAGTTTTCAACCCGTAGGTACACACAGACTTAAACGTAGAGAATCCTCTGACATGTATTCAGCAAAGAACACATTTTTAAAAGCATTTAAGTAATATATTTTAAAATCAAATTGTACCATTTTATATGTCTAAACAAATAACCATGGCCATCAATCGACATTAATTTATAAAACTTTAGCTAGAACTTTCAACAAAGAGTGAGATCAGACATAAACGGAAAGGATGCACATTTCGTTTTTTAATCAATGACCAGAGTTTATTTCTTTTATATCACTTAAATCAAGTTTTGATTGAATAATTCATTAATGACGTTTTATGAAATAAATATTTACATTTCCAATGTCTTTGTTCGAGATAAAATTACAAATTGTAAATGTATTTTATATCCCCATCAATGTATTGAATCAGGGCTTGGAGCACGTGGATTGGCGGAATCAAAACATGTAAATATAAGGAATAACTGTCTTATTTTTCAATTTCATGAAGATGATCAATCGACTGGCTTGCGTGATAATTTTATGCATAAACGCCTTCGGCGTTTATGCAAATTATCACACAAGCCAATCGATTGAACACACAATGAAATCTAAAAATAAGACAGTTATTCCTTAAATAAGCGATTGTTTGTTGTCAGTTTTATTATAAAATGCCAGTAACTTAGATCCGCAAACCGGAACCACCACTTTAATTACTTTCTGATGCTAATTTTAGGATGTTAACCGAAAATGAAAGTAGTGACTGTGGAAGGCCACGCAATTTTTTTTCATCTCCAAAGCACATTTTTTAGCTCGTGAAACGTGTTATTTCATGAATCTTTATCTTCTCAAGAATTTAACAAAATTTAATTGTAGGAATTATGCAAAAGTTATTTTTCCCGTAATCGATTGACTGTTTATAAAGGGTGTTAAGAAATTTGGTTCCACATTTTTCTTTTATTTTCGAAAAGAAAAAAGATGAGAAGATTTTTACCATTTGTGATGTTTCATGTCTACAGAGTCCAATCTTGCTACTGATAAGGTTTTAACTGTCCTTTGTTGAATCAGTAAGGGGAGGGCTGGTATTACAACATGAAGTCTATTCAGAAAAATTAGGGATGACGGATATTTGTGACATATATTAAGTACAGAGCTCAAAACATCCTTATAATTACTATGCAAAAATTATCAAATCTGTGAAAATATTCAAAATGACAAACCAATTCTTTTGAAAAGTTGTCTATCATTCTTATACCTATACAGTCATCAGCTTGTCTTATGCAAGATAAGCTATGGAGAAAAAAAATAGATTATCCTTTATTCTCACTCAAAATGACCATCATTTCTATCATTCGGGTGCTTTAAAGATGTTATATATATTTCCATATGGGAGAAAAAATCCTATAATTTCCTGCAAGAAATGAACTGCTATAAATTCAAAGCACATTCTTGTGATTTTGTCAGACTTGAAAATTCATCTCTTTATTTAAGCACCACTTTGAAATTTTTGAAAACATTTCATCCTGGAACGAACTTTCTTAACATCCCTTATTTAATTCAGTTAAATATAATTTGACATGTATCGCAGATTTCAGTTTGTTATTGCCCATGAAGGAATCGGAGAACCAATCAAAGCTTAAACAAATACATTCAGTAGATTAAAAAAATATCTATACAAAGTATAGAATTCAATATTTAAAAAAACAGGTGCACCATCTCTCATGTCATTTGGGAACACAAAGTTAATATTTATATCCACGGTATCACATGTCAATCGAAATTCCTTTTCCAATTAATCTTTGGACACTAAATACCGGTATTCTCTGATTACTTAGCACATTTGCTTTCAAGCAGTCAGATAGAAACATATTTTCTATACAACTTTGCTCTATCTTTTTTTTTTTTTTTTGGCGATGACATTTGGTGACATACTTCAAGAACAGGTCCGCAATAAATTACATAAAAAATGCTTTAACAATAGATTATTAAACTGCAAAGCTTGCAGATAGGAATGTACAGAGCTTTCAAAACCTTGTTTTTCTAATTAAAAATTTTCTTGCAAAATAAGGTTAAAATTTGTTCATAACTTTTACAAGAAACTCGAATCTACATGAAATGACAAGGCTTACATATCATAATCGATAAGCATCCTGTGGTTTTCCTATTCTTGAGAAAAAAGATTTATAATAAAACTTTTCATATACGAATGTAAAAGACTAGATTTAATTTAAACATATGTTATTGAAACATAATCAATGGAATTGGACACAAGTTATTCCAACTTAGATTGTTCTCTCCAACACAAACAAAATGATAAAAAAAATATACACGTGATGTACAAGCAACAAATTTACAATGCCAAAAAAAGAAGAAAAGGTGCTGAGAAATGAGAAAGATTCCTTACTAAATGCTCAAACTAGCTCTGGGCCAGTATTTGAATGAACAAACTTTTACTTCTTGAGAAAGATCTCCCCCCTACATTTCCATTTAAACTATGACCCCAATTTTATCTCCGATGTTTATAGTTTTAATAATTTAAAATTTACAGTGTGCACATTTCGGGAAGATGTCACAACTTTCTTCTTTTGTGGGCCAGTGTTTCTCAAGAAGAAGAGATTTATAACTCACCCCAGACGTTTTGTCTGATCTCAATCATCTCTTCTTTCCAAAAAGGACAACGGAGCAATTTTGAACTTCTTGATTAAAGTATGATACGTTCCAAGTTTAGCTGAAATTCGGTTTTAGAGAAAAAGCCGAAACTGTGCAGTAAAGATAGAAACGGGCGCCAGTCAAAGACTGATCAGAAAAGTTTACTGAAACATGTACATGTACAACTAAGATAAACTAAAAATTTTAACAACTTTAAGTAATACAACGTCCATTTAAATTAATTAAATGCTACTTTTTTGAAATCGACTTCTTATTAAAATATGCTGTTTTGTCTGATTTACTTATCTATCTGATTAAACTTATATAATTGTAGATCTAAACCTATGAATACACCTGGACATTTTATCATAAGTAATAAAGGCAATAATCAAAGTAAAACACAGTAATTATAGCATGATTCTTAAAATGTACTTGATGAACCATTCCAGTATCTGTAACTGAAATTGTGCTGAGAGATGTTCTCGTAGCAGCTTGGATGGTACCGGGAAGATGGCGCCATATCAAACCGATCACAGGAACTCCTCACTATATCCGGTAGTTTCTCTGCAGAGTTCACATTCAGGAAAGCTGTCCGAATCTTGGCTGCGACAGTGGGTTGCATAAGTCGGGTGTTAAGTTTAATTTCATCCTCTCTTGAAAGAAGGCGTGAGGTTTCTACTGCCGGAAGTGACTGTATTTCCTTCTTGGGCGGACTTTTGTACAAACGATTAACGATTTGGTCCACCTCATTCTCGGAAAAAATCCTGAAGGCTGGAGCCTGATTAGATTTACTTTTAGCTTGAACCCTTCTGCTTCTTTGTCCTATCCCTGTGCATATGAATAAGTCAGAGAGAATGTTAGGGGACCTAATTTTGTGATATGACCTTCGGGTCCTCAGCGCTAAGGACGGCGTATCGTGAATGTGCTGGATATTGAAGTCCTGTATTCGATGATATGTCACATGAAAAACCATCTTTTAATAAATTTATCGATTAACACAGCAGTCCTCTTCCATGTAAGTAAATGAGAACTGCAATGAGATTTGCATGAAATCTGTAATTTATATCATAGCTCGGAGGAAGTTTTATATCCCTTATCAGAGATTTAGTTTGTTTGCATACCTGTTCATACAGACATCTTGAACTGCAGTACTAATAATAACAACCAATAAGAAACTTCCATAACTACCTGTCACTGAGTAGGTTATTCCAATCTAGCTCATCATTGGGATATCACTTGTCCCAGTGTTTGGTTTTGACAGTCAATGGACACTTTAAAGACACCTAGACTCAGTTGTAAATATCAGGAAGACTTAACTGGGAATTCCCCTCTCCCACCCTGTCTCTCTCTATGTATATTACATGTATATATATAGAGAGAGAGAGAAAGAGAGGGTACTAGTATATAGTAGTATATACTAATACCTTTGAAAAAATCTGTTTGTCCTCTCCAGATTCGGTCTGAAAATATTGGGTCAGTAAGTAGGTGAGCAAAAAATTTTCTCTGAAATTTTCTATTTCTATGCTTTTTATAAATTTATATTTTCCAATGCACATATAAGAAATAATTGCTTTCTAAAGTTAAAAAAAAGTTTTGAGTCCAACCACAGTGTATTTTTAACCAGGCGCTCGGGAAAGGGCAACCAACCAATTTTTTAAAGATATACAAAGTTTATTTTCTTGCTTAGATAAGCGTTTTTGTAACGTTTGCGATGTACTTCTATACAAATTCTTACTCATATTTTTGACATTGTGCAATCTAATTAAAATTAGATGTTCCGAATCCGCTATCGCTTCTCAAACGTTTGAGAAGCGATAGCGGATTCGGAACATCTAATTCTAATTAGATTAGACATTGTGAAAAAATCTTACAAAATTTTCTCACTCTAATCAGAAAATATCATTGAATTTAAATATTAACTATTTGAATGAGAAATATTGCTGATTCCTAAAAGAAAGTTTGTGTTATTAATCTTTAAAACTGAAAAATATTTTTTACCCCGAGTTTGAGTAAAAAATTTCCCATATAACGTTATTGTGATGGGTGGATGATACTCATTTACTTTTAACATTCCAAAGTTAAAGATCGAGGCAATGTATGCCTTGATAAAGCATAATTAAAATCCAATTTTAGATATTGCAGACTTTGCAGTTCAGGTAATACAATGTATATATAACATTTAATTATGGTGTAAAACTTGCTTATTTTACTAGAAACTTTTTACACACATATTTTCTTTACGATACAGATTTTTTTTTAAATTATGTCTGCATAGACATGCCTATAGTCAACATTTGAGTTCTTTTTGACGGACATTTCTCGGTCAATTTTTGACAGCCTATGAGGGCTGGAAGTCCTGCCGCACCTATAATATACAACACTTCTCTTATCTCCCCTTTTCTTTTTGAATTTGGATAAACAATACATTCATCTTCTCGACGATACGTTAAACAAACAATTCTTTTTTAATTTACAAAATGCCATTTCGTTCATCAGCGTGAATTACTATTGTTTATGCATGAATCCGGAATCATTATCATATTTCTCCTTATGTTAGTATACTCTGTATACTGCATGGACTTTACTTGTGCCAAGGTCATGTCGAAGGACCTAAAATTACTTCATTGGTGGCCCGCCTTATTCCCAACCTTAGAATGAGACACATTAGCATGATTAGTAGATCCTAAGACAAATCTTGCTTGTGTCTTGCGGCTTTGTTCTGATTCTAACCCAAAATAATTAATCTGTTCGATGACATGTATTTCAGACGTGGTAAATTCTTGTCTTTTTTATCACTTTTTGCTCGTGTTTTCACGTATTCTGTTACTTATTATGGCGGTATATGGCCTCGGTTCTGCAGGAAGATCTATAAGGCAAATAAATGTTTGCGTATCTGTGTACATCAAGGCTAACTGATGAGTTGTGTGCTATCTTGAAGTCGTATCTATTTTCTTTCACTAAGCTATTCAGAGCATTTACGTCTAGCATTCCATACTTTTGTAACTCGTTAGTTAGTTCAGTGAAGACAGGTATGTCCAGTGTCCGTATCATTTTTCTATGGTTTGCCCGTATTGTAAGCACGTCGTACTGGGAGGCCGATAATAGCCAGTTCACTTTTTTGTTTGTTAGATAGTCCATATAAAACTTATCCTGCTTCGCTTGTGAGTGGTAAATGACACTAAGAAAGAAGTCAATTGTCATAGAAGACTGTGCCCTGGAGAACAAAACGACTAGTAGGATCATCATCCGGCGCCAGAATTCAAGCACAACAGCTACATTCCAGGCAGCAAAACGCTCTTCTAGATCCGCATTGCTGACGTGCCGCAAAATCTGTCGACTCAAACGGAAATCATAGAGAAAATTGGACCCCCAACTGTTATGTGTTCTGTGCTCAATTATGTTTTTCCAAATATTGGTTTTTGTCAAAAAATAAGTTGGCATACATGTTTGATCAAAACACTTTGCAAAGTGGACGAAAACGTAAAGCAGGAAATGAAATTCATTCTCATAGCACCTCTTTGACTTGTACATTATAGTTGATTTGAGCGAATAGGACGACAAAAAATTGGGGTTACCAAACCTGTCACTGCTTACGAACAATAGTTTCAACACACGGTGGCATCTCTTTTTCTCATTATCCATATTTTTAATCAATGTGCTTTCGGCATGTGCAAACGAGTTGTGCCAACACTTGCCTTCGTTATGATGTTCACAGGACCTTGGGATCAAGAAACTAGAGTGGTCAGCCCCTATTTGGTCCATTCTGTTGTCAGTACAATCTTCACGTAGGGTTTTTGGTAAGTTCTTGTAGTACACAAGGAAAGCTGGCATCACATCGACAGCTATAATCATACTGAAGTCTCCATTCTCCCAAACCAAATCAAACGTCCTCTTTCTCCTCTTCCATCCACGCAGTATACCGGAAGTGGTTTTAACCGGTTCAAAATCTCCCAGCTGAGAAGGGAGAAGACTTTCAAACTTCTTCATACAGACATGAGGGGACAGGTACAGTCCCTGACAGCAGTCAGATAATTCATGGGAGCTACCGTTTATGCGAATCTTGGTAAAACCTGGGCGACATCCTGGTTCTAAGTGGATATTTTTATCTTTTAAGATATTGTAACCAAAAACGGCGAAAAAGTCGAATTCGTTCTGCTTCCTAATTTTGGTGTCCTCATACATGCTTCCAATAAGCTGGAGTTGCTTCACTTTAAATCGATAATCAGTTCCCGAAGATTCAAGTATGATTTTGTTCATCATAAACTTAACAGCCTGAGTAATATTGGTCACTTCTCGCGCGGAGGAAAGTTTATTTGTTCGTTCGGAACTTCTAAAAAGAGTGTCTTCGTGTCGTATATCTATAAACTCCGATACAGCCCGTATAGTCTTCTCAGTAAAACACCTTGCATTAAATCTGGTGCATTCAGCACGAAACCTCGAGAACATTGCCTCGGAAGGTAATGGGATCTGAATCGAAACACAGGTCAAATTAACATCTCAGACAAATCACATCCTCAAAAAAATAACAGTCTGATTTTACATTGTTCTAATTCTGGTGTTGAATAAATTCAGGCTATTCTATTTAAATCTGTAGTGCGAAATGTAAAAAAAAATATTTTAAAAAAAGCAGACGATAAAAAAATCGTTTCGTTCGATTAAAATATTGACATAATATTGACCGGTTAGGATATTTTGCCTGAAGTGTCCTGTCCCGTTTCCTACACTGTTGTCGTGTATTTAAAGCATTATTTTTGAAAGGCATTCCTTTCTATTATCTTCAATACCAAAATATGGGTTTTCCAACTTCCCGATTTAGGTATGATTTAAAAGGCTTAGGGTAAAATGCTTAGTGGAGCGGAATAATGTGAAGTCATGGAATGGAGTCCGTAACAGTACAGAAAGTTTCAAATTAATGAGCAGAAAGCAGGAATAAACAGCTGATAGATGCAGAAGGTTTTTAATTCCAATTAATTGATTTCTGTAATGTACAATATATCCATTGAAATGTTTAGGGTTTAAAAAAAGGTCTCTTAAAAACGAGGTTAGTCCATGATATTTAAAGTCTTAAACTTTTTTTTTCAAGTATACTTTTAGTTTCTACACACATAGCTTAATTAAAAATCAAACAAAAAAAGAGGGGGGTCAATATGCTTCGTTTGGCACTACAGTACAAAAGTCGTAATATGACTTTTTTGCACTGAAATTTGTGTCTGATTCAAAAATCACATCTTCAACGATTTCCCTCCAAAGAAATTATGAGACAACATACACTATTAGTCTATTTTAAAAAAGACAGTTTAAGTTACTCCGATCCTCAGCAAGGACGAATAACTCTTTAATTTAAAATTTAATTCAAAAAGTCTCAAAATAAAGCTTGAAAATTAAATCTTTTCATGCAACAATTTTCATTTTATAATTAACTCTTTATGTGCTTCAAGGTTTTTTGAAGTTTCTAAAAGATCTTATAAAAAGTCGAAATTTTTATCTTATAAAAGTATTTTTTATTTACCTGTTTAAAGAAATTGAGGTCCATTTTAATCTATAACCATAGATACCAATGTCTTTTAAATGATATGAAATTAGAAGTGAATAATGGTGTTTTGCAATGATAGGAAAATCTTTATACACTATGCATTGTGAAATGATCGAATTATATACAAGAAATTAAAGTACCTTATATATATATAAATTATGCAATTTCTTCAAAAGCCTGGATAACCATGATTTTTATTTCTAAAATGTGTTTATTGATCAATTTTGAATTGGAAAATGCATATATAGATGGGGTTTAATTCGCATTTCCTGAAAATTTATTTGAGATTTACTAATTTTCCCTATATAATATGATTAAATCTTTACAGATGAAGTTTATAGAATTATCTTGGGTAAAAGCACGTTACTTTAAGAATTCAGAGACATTTTCAAAAGCATTTTAAATTAGTCAATGCCTGATTTTCAGAACCTGAGGATCGGAGTTCCTTAAAAATTGAGACTAAGAAAAAGTTTCAAATTGCTCCGCATAATCAATTATTTGACCTTTCTGCACTCACAAAGTGTGATGTTTTTGGTATTGAAAAATTTAACAAGCTAAAAAATTATTTAAAGTCTTAAACTTTTACTTAATTTAAGCAGATTGATCAAAGTTATCTTATATCAGAAAAGAAAAAAAAAGTGGGGGTCGATGATGTAAATTTTTCGATAGTTACAACAAAGGTGTTGATTTTACGCTAAAATCGGCTCATTTTTTTTCCTGGACTTTCAGAATATATTAGATATTTCAGAACCAGCACAAAACATTTCGCTGCAAAAAACAGCTCTGTGAGCAACCAGCATGGAATAATAGTAATCTAAACTTAACAATACTGAATATCTTTCAAAAAGGAAAAATTGATCATTTTCGTCTAAAAAAAAACCTTCCGCCATAAAATATAGTTCCTGGCTAAATCCTATTAGAATGAAATTTAACCACGATTTTTCCATTGGATATAGTATATTATCATAGGCACTTGATTTGGAAATAAATTTTTAACCCATAGTATAAAAATAACACAAGGTATCGAACTCCGAATTACAGCCAGTACCCCCTTCTCAGAAATGCACTCATTTACAATTTCAGAGGAAGTGCAATGGCAAAGTGTAATACCATTTTTTCTACGGTAATTTGTCTACACATCGATATGTGGCATGCATGTACTTTGTTTTAGTTTATTTCCGTAAACAGCGTCGAAACCCTGCCTCGCCGAGTGGAAAAGTAGAACTAAACCATGAAACGCCTGGCACATCTGTTTCACATTTGCATATTTTACAAGACAAGAGGCCCACGGGCCTTATAGGTCACCTCTGTATCATGTAACAACTTTTGAACAATTGAATTTGTTTCGTGTTTCAAACCAGAGGCCATGAAATCCACAATTTTGAAAGAGGCACCATTGCTTATCATAATTAAACACTTGGCATGCTTACTCCCAGAGGTAGATCAGAGTAACAAAGAGAAAAACTAATGCACTTCCACATTATAACTAGTTATGCACCACCAAAGGAACCACTCACCCTGGGGCCACTTATTTCAGAAATTTTATCATAAATTTTATTTCATCATAAATGGTTAATTAATACCAAAGAGCAGATTTCTAAGCATTAATTTATCTTAAGACTATATGTACCCCCCTTGAGCAAAGGAAAAGATTTTCAAAGAATAAATGTATTCACACTACTTATAATCACATAGGGGCCATAAAATTCAAAAGAACGAGGGCGCTTTTGATTGGCATTCGGCAGGAATCTGGGCAAAATTGAAAAGTGAAAAATTTATCGACATGTCACATGAAATTTTAACATGTTTTTAAATTTATCGGGTTTCTGTGCAACAGGAAAGGAAAATATTTTCCTATAAAAATGGGCTTTGATTGCTAAAAAATAACTTGAAAATTGGCCAGATCAGACATTTGGTGCAAAATGGTACATTTTTAAACACATTTTTTAAAAATTTTTCTATCTCTGGGTCTTCTCTCCATGATTTTGAAACGTTATTTGTGTGTATTTTAATTCAAAGAAACGAATACAAGTTTTTTAAAAAATGGAGAGAAGACCCAAAGACCACAGAAAACGAACTTTTCCCCAAAAAATCCAAATGTGAGAATGCAGTGCTTCTTTGTCCTTTTAATTTAAAATCAACTGTGTATGTGTAGCGGTGACAGCTCAGTAAGTTGGGCTATACATGTACATGTTCAGTGCACTGGAATCGAAAAGTTTTTGGTTTGAGCCTAGCATGGGGCGTTAATTATTTTCTTTTCATGCAAACAACCATTTATTTTGTCACTTTCGTTTTATCTACTGATATATTAAAATTTTGAATAAGATTAATTTGGGTTCAGTCTGGTTCTCGAGCGAAATCAATCTTCTATTCTATACTGTATATATAATGTACATGTACACGTATCATGCATCTATATGCATTGAATATTTGAGTTGTTTATTTTTTTGTGAAACATTACTATGTTATAGTACCCCCTTGGAAAAACGGACAAAAATTTTACAATCTCACGCTTTCAAACTAATTGAAAAAAAACCCTATGGATTTGTAAACTCTGACAAGCTATGTTCAGCCAACCAAATCATGAACATTTAAACCATAAACAGGTTAGGGGGAAACGTAAATTCCGCTATAATAGTGGTATTTCACTATTATAGTGAAATTACGCTATATTTCCCGTCGTGGATACCCTCAATTTCATCCGATACCATGCAAGGCGTTTGAACCGCAAGTCATGGTGGGTATTAAAATGAACAAAAACTGTCATGCTTGCATGTTTTGAATTTTAATCAATTTTCTACCGTTGCGTTTAATAATGCGAGCACTTTTTTTTAACGGAAGTTGCATTTTTAACATAGCAACCGATGATTGCAGTAGTATCTAAGCCTGTTTGAATCTCACTTATTGTTCATTAACGTGCACAAATTGATGCTTGTTACAATTGTCAACTTGCACTGAAAAGGTTTTATGGAATTAAACAATAAAAGGATTATTTCTGTCTGCATGGTTACGGGTATGGAGGCTCGTTATGGAAAACGAAAAGACACATTATGGCAAAAATAAAAAAAAGAGTGTAATGATAAATTCGATTTCTATCCTCTTTACAAAATCAATTTATAATAAATAATCAAAAAATTACTTTTTAAAAGATAAAAACGATTCTAGAAAATATATATAATTTTTAATTTCTGCTGGTTAATTGTTTATTTCAGAAAAAAGACTCAATTTATTTTGGTGTCCGGAATATTTGACAAGAGTGCCTGTAACCTTATTTTAAACATGTTCAAATAATTATGATTGGAACAATCTTTTTAACTCTGCACAAATGAATCTTATTTAACACTTTCTAGTTAGGCACTTAGGCAAGAATGATTTAACTTTAAAACCTGAGAGAAATAGCTGTAGTTTTTTTCTTGCTATTTAAAAATATTTGTATCTAATTATATTCTAGGAAATGAAAGAATGTAACAAAAATCACACCAGAAGTATTAATTTTTCAAGCTTTTCGAATTATGCTATTGTATTATTGTTTAAAACACAAGGAAACTTCAAATAACCAATCACCACTGCTCAATATTCAGCATAAGATGTGTCTAAAATATCTTTGACTCAATTCATATTTTCCACAATCAAAAATTTATGTCAAGACCAAATCGACCGCAAACAATTTAGCATTTGATAAAGTACTATCACAATTTTGAATGCATAACCATGCAATGGAAGTATAAGATATTCAAAGCTGAACTAGAATCACGAGAAGCCTATATTTTCATTTTCAATCAAATCTTTTATCACTGACTTCATATGCGTCAGAACCGGGGGAGGGGGGCTTAGCCCCCACTTTTTTTTATTTTGCAGTGATAGACATTTTCTATGTATTGAAAATTGAGGTTTACCTTTTTTATTGGTTTACCCCCCCCCCCCCTTCAATTTGCTTCCGACTCCTATGGACTTGATTAATCCATCTGATGAGCAAATGCACTTAAATATCTATGTGCGTATTTACTTTTAAAAAAAAATATTTATTTATATT